TTTTACACCTTCATTTTCTTTGTTTCATCGTTTAATCCTCCCTTTTCATTACTCCCTCTTTCACTCTCCCTCCTTTCACTCGTGCCCCTTCCATACTGCATTTTTCACTCAGTTTCCTTTCATTCCTCTTCCTTTTTTAACTCCATTTACACTCTTCCTTTTCACTCTTCCTTTTTCCAATTCTGTCTCTTTCATTCCTCACCCTTCCACTCCTCCTCTTTTCACTGCTTTTTCTTTCGTGCCTCTGTTTTCACTCTTCACTCCTCCTCCTTTCACTCCTGCATTTGATCTCTGTCTGTCCTTTCAGTGACTTTGGCTACACAGTTGGAGTCGAGCCGGTTCCAGGTGAATTCATCCAGACAGAAAGTGTGTGTGTGTGTGTTTGTGTGTGTGTGTGTGTGTGTGTTTTAAGTGCTTACATGTGCTTTTTCTTTTCTGTCCGTTCTGAACACCTGTTCGTTTGACTTTGAGTACCTCATTGTCTGTTCGACTTTTGTGTGGCTGCATATTACTGAGCATATGGTGATGAGTTTAAAAGAGCATAAATTAAGCTGGAGGTACAGACATACATGTGTGCATGTGTGCATGTGTGCATGTGTGTGTGTGTGCCAGTGTTGCACATGCATGCCAACCTTCAGTGCCAAACCACCAAACACTGTCTGCCTGGCTCTTAGTGTGTGTCTTCACTTAGTAGACATAAATAATAATAATACTTATAATATAATAATATAATAATAATAATAGTATTAAAACATGCAATGGTGCTGGGTGTGAAAGTGTAAGTATGCTGGTGGAGTGTGGCTTCTGATGTACATCAGTTTTTTTTTTTTTTTTGTGTGTACTGTTTTGCATGTTTTGATGTTTCCCTACTGGCCAAGGAGTTTGCCATCGTATCAAGCAAAATAGTGGCTGAGAACAACTTTCTCCTGTGAGTCAGACACTTCTTGGGCTGGCCGCTTGAACAATGCTACAACGCAGATACATGGCTGCCTGGTAGCTGCTTGAGTGACGCTACACCACAGCTACGAAGTTGCTTGAGCTGGTCACTTGTGTGAAGCTGAAATGTAGTTCAACACTACAAACTCCCCACGAGCACAGCTAAGGACTTTTTCTAGGCTGCAACTTTTCCCTGGTTAGCTACCTGTAAGACACTATACTGTAGTTACAAGTCCCTACTGCCTGAGAGGGACCTTCCTCCATGGCTAAAAACTGTTCACGACTTCTAATTGCAAGAAGGGTCAGTTTACTGTCACCCATGAAATGCTGGAGCATTGATGGGATTTAAACTCAGGGCCAGGAGTGTGTGTGTGCGACAGAATCAAACATGCTGAGGTCTCTGGGGTCATAACTATGATATGTGCATGAGCCAGAGAGAAAAGAGTGTTTGTGAGTGATGCTGCTTATAGCATCTTCTATATACACTCGCATGTCATCATCATCATCCCAGCGTGGGTGCATATTTTAATCTGTCATGCTGTGGCAGTCCCGAATAAATTCCTTCAGCCTTCTTATCCACACTCATCCACTCTGTCTTAAAGGGGCATACAGGCCTAAAACTACACTTTAATATATTATATGTTATGTTATGTAGTAGGGGTGCACCAATACCACTTTTTCCTTCCAAAACCAGATACTCAGTTATCTGAGAATACTGAGTATCGATCCTGATCCTAACTTTATATGATCTACTTGATAGGGGCCTATAAATCCTGACATTTTAACTGGTCCATTATTGTCATATTTGAATGGTTACAGAGCTACAAAAAGTTTACCATTTAAATGCTTAACTAAATTCAAAATTCATGCCTTTCCTCGAAATACTGGTGTTATAGACTTTGCTATCAACATTTTTACTACTGCTGTCTGAAATAATCCCACATCAGAAATTGTCACATGAAATCAGTATTTTTTATTGCCAATACTGGATCTAAGCACCATAATAATACCGGTGACACCAATACAGTGTCAGTGCAGCACTAGTATTATAGTATTATCATAGCATTATAGTATATTGTATTCTATAGTGCAGCACTGCACCCCTTGACCTGATCAGTTTGACAGAATTCACGATGTTTCATTTTCTTGTTTTCTTGTTGTCCTTCAGTGTTTTCTCACTATAATACCCAGCATGCATTATGCAAACACATCATACAGCCATCCCTATGGTACTTAACAAATCCAGAGTGCTAGAGGCCAATAAATACATATGTGATGCTGCTAGCTAGTATTAGTGATTTAGTACTAACCTCAACTGATCCTAACTTTTTTTAACTTTGTTAAAAGAAAATTTCTGCTAGCTAGCCAAAAAAAAGAAAAAACCTGTCCCCAAGTATCCACCCCAAAATTCTAAATTTACTTCCATCTCCAAGATACATCATCAGAAAAAGGTTTTCATAGTATTGAAAACACTCCAGAGACTACTGCAGCACCACTGTAAGAGGCCAGTAGGTATGTTTACAACAAGTGTAGTGATGGTTGAAGGTTTTGTTTTGTCCAGAGTGTCCCTAAGTCCAGAGGGTGTATGTGTGGATGAGGTCATCACTGTCCAGTCTGTACAATGAGATAACCACACAGCCCTAAAACACTAGAATAAACCAAGCATGTGTACAGGAGCGAGAGGAGAGAGAGTAGCAATCTGCACAAGTTCACTGTACAAGTTGGGTCACGTGTGATCTGTGGAAAAAGTAGGGGATGGGATTAATTTTAAGGCACAGGGGTCATAGCAACAACCAACAGGTTGAGTGCTCATACATAGGGGTATTATAGGGTGGGGTGGGCTAGGAAAATTATTGGCTGCTTATGGAAGCAGACAAGCAGGCAACAAAGAAGTGTTCTGCAGAGAAAAACATGCTAGTACTTTAAGTTTTATGACCTTGTTGAGCATAAACATAGAGATAGAGAGAAAAAGAGGGAAAGAGAGAGAAGAAGAGAGATGGAGAGAGGGGAGGTCTCTATCCTCTGTTGTGTTGGTCAGCAGTGCAGAAAGTCATTTGCATTGTTAATCAGAGACTGGCAGTGAGGTGACCTTCAGGAACACACACACTCACACCCCTCTTACTCATTTACATATACACTTGTACACACACTGCTGCACATGTGACAGCTGTTTATAAACACTCTCTCACACAGAGAGTGAGTGTGTGTGTGTGTGGGTGGAGGTGGCTGTGTGTAATGGAGAGGTAAAGTAACTGTCTGTATGTGTTTGTGTACATCTGTTCAGGGTCTCCAGCCACTAGAGCGCACTTGACTAGAATACATTAATGATAGCTTGACTTTTCACACAGAACTCAAACATTCAATCAAAACATCCTTGACTTGATAATACAAGCAAAGTACAGTTTTAAATAAATTCAAAAATGTTATTGGCTTAGTTTTGTTAGTTTTGTTTTTGGCGCTTTAGATTTAACGTCTTCAGATATGTCTTAATCATTTTTGATGGATGTTAAGACAAGAGGCCTGATAAGTAGTAGATAACCACAAACTCACCTTGTGAGTCACTGACAATAAAAATGAAAAGATAAGAGCAGCCAGAGAAGTGGGTGTATTGCACAATCTACTTGCTATCTATTTTTCACTGTAAGCCAGCAGTAATGAGTTCTCTGTAATAGAGAAAAGTTAGCATTAGCAACTAATGACAAAAGAAAGTGCCACTGGCATAAAACTGTAGTATAAAAGGTGGTAAAATTGTCCTAATTTTAATAAAGATTATGTAGCTACAATATCCAGTCAGACTACAGAAGTTGACTTAGCTGGCTAATCACCACCCTGCTATTAAAACTAGCATAGATTCACATGCCTGGTCAGCAGAAAAAACAGCATATGGTTTGTGTTGTGTTATGTTGTGTTATGTATGTTGGTAGGCTGGTCAACCAGCATGGCTATGCTGGGTGACTAGCTAAACCAGCATCAGACCAACTTAGACAAGCATGGAATGCATGCTAGTCTGTCCTGTTTAACTCATGTTGGCACACTCTATGTTACTTGGAATCACTTGAAATCATAATTTCGACCATACTAACAAGTTTATTTTATTTTTCATTCACTTAAGCAGAGGCAGTTTGCTGGTAGAAAAATGAATGGGCTAGCTCATAAAGCTCAACATGGCTGTATTAGAGAATTTTCTGTGCTTCAGTAAAAAGAGCTAACTGCCTTATTGGTCGGGAACACTGCTGATTGTGGAGATATGAACATGCATAGTTGCAGGAAGAACCCAAAATCACAACTTTGTTTCAAATGCTACAAACTATTTATGCTTTATTTTTACCAGTAATTTAAAATATATCGCTGTTGTCCAAAAAAAAAAAAAATCTCCAAAATGATAACTTTACAGGAAAAGAGAAAACCTACTTTACTTTGAATGTAAGTCAATGGAACCAGAATTTTTTCCAAGTAATTTTGGGCCATTTCTTTTGGTCCATTCTTCATGAAATTTACGTACAATGTAAAGGGCAACAGGCATTTTCACATTATGTCAAAAACTGAAAAACTATAATTTATTGTTATAAAAACAATATTTTTTAAGTGTGTTAAAGTGGCTTTACTTTCAGGTTTATAGGTCTCCTCTCTTTCAAAGAGACAGGAGCCTGGCCTTATATTATTGGAAATAACTGTCCGATGGCCATTCAATGAACAGACTTAACCAAACATTGTATGATATATGCAAAGTAACCCAAATTTGTTTATCAGATTACATAAAAAGCTAATTTGTTGACTTGGTATGTGCATGGTGCAGGCTAGGCTAACTTCTGTCTTGGTGATTAGGTAGCTAAGTGAACTGTTTAGCTAGGTTAGCCCCAGTAGCTATGTAAATTAAGTGAACTTCGGAAAAGTCCCAAAGTCCCATACCAATTTTACCCTTTGAGGCTACTGGTAGCCCAGTCCCACCACCACTTTCCTCAAATGGTTATAATAGATATGTAATATATGCTTTTCTTAATATTTTGCATATGAATGCACAGGAGAGGAGTGTCTTTGCACATTTGTGTATGTATGTATCTTACCCTGGGTTTTGAGAGATGAATACTTGTTGAATCCCACACCCAAGTTATTATGGGGATGAGAGAGAGTGATAGCAGGACCAAGAGACGGAAGAGCAGCGTTATTCAGATGATTATGATCTACAGAGGGGGAGAGAGACAGGGAGAGAGAGATAGAGAGGGAGAAGAGGAAAGTAGTTCAATTAGTAAGTTAGTAAGAGTCATTTGCAACTGCAAAACTGCATGTTAGAGTGAAGTGAGATGGTTAATAGGGAATATTCAAGCAGGTGGGTGTATATTGATGGATCTGTGTGCATGTCAGGGTTTCTGTTAGCCAGCATTTGACTGGAAAAAACTCATTTTAAAATCCAGCCAGACACAATGTCAATTAAAAATCTTTGTCCAAATAAATATAGAATTAAGTGAGTAAAAGAGTTGCTACCCTGTTAAATGCTGTATCCTGAGATTTAACTAGTAGCTTCCTACATTTTCATTTTTTATAACGAATGTAGGAATACATGCTGAAAAAAATGTTTAAATGTCACCAATATCAAAGCTAGACTATGGCAAGTTAGCCTGTATGCCTTTAAACAGTTCACAGCCATGCTCTAATGTTGTCTACATAAACTTTATTTCATCATTTATGACTGGCAAAGCATGTTTATACTAATCAAATGGTCAATAAAGACATTTACACCTTATCAAGAAATATGGACCAATAAATGCTCTCTGCTTCTTCTCCATGATGCTGTTCGGGAGCAGTTCAGGTTTGCCGTTCATGGCACGTTACTCTGGTTGAAAACTTAAAAAGGGTAGATTTGTTGGCAGTATCCATAGAGACACAGAGAAAAAAAGTGCCTGGCACCCCAATATAGTCATTGATAATTCCACCTGTTAGTTAGGTCCCTGTCTACCCCCCACAGAGAGCAAGGCCTATTATGCTCTTTTACTCCTGGTCATGGAGAACTGTGGCATTGTTCGCACTAGTAGTTTTATTTTTATTTAACCACATTAGCGCTAACATTTATTTTGAAATGTTTATGCTTGAGTGTGACAGTCCCTCACATCTTCATATTAGTGTTTAAAATAAATTAATGATAAAATATGAGTAAATTCATGATAAATATGAGTAAATTGGTTAATAAGTATTAGCAGCACTCGACCTTCGTTCCATATATTGTCCTTCCAAAACTTTGTTACCTGAAGAAGTCTAGGCCCACTATTACAGCCTCAAAATCTTATTTTCTTGTTTATGTAAATATGTCTTCAATGTCATTAAAAAAACTTTTTCTTTTGACAGTGACAATCTACACTATAAGCCCAAAAGTATTCAGACAGTCCTTCTAATTAGTGAATTGGCTACTTTATTTGCCCTATTGCACTATTGCGCAGCTTGTATAATATCCATAGAAAAGCATTGCAGATAGAAAGGGATGCTTTGGAACAGCTGCCCACGAGCCTGAGGTCACCATGCCCAATGTCAAGCATTAGCTAGAGGGGGATAACCCCCCCCCCACCCACCCACCCCAGCACTGGGAAGAAGAACAATGGAACTATATTCTCTGGAGTGATGGATTTGGAGTGGTTTGTAATCCAGAACTGTTCATCCAACATCTTTTTCAACCATTCCCTTTAATTAGTCACTCATCTGTATCTCATCTTTATTTTTTTGCTTTTAGCAGTGCATTCAGTAAGCATCTTGAACTTAAGTTTGACCTTGAGATGTGCGGAGAGACAATGTGTGTGTGTATATGTGTGAGTGAGTGGGGGCTTGATGGAATGATGGATGAACTGAAAGAGTAAGAGCTGAAGTAAAAGAGCAGTGGAGCGATAGTGAAAGAGGGAAAGAGTGTGAATAGATTTTCAGTCTCACGTGAGCCACACAACAGATGGCACAATACACACCTTTTTGTGTGTGTGCGCACATGCGTGTGTGTGTGTGTGTGTGTCAGGTGCACTAATCTCTAGTGTAAGTACACTCCAAGCTAATCAGCTTACACACACACATGGAGAAAGAGAGAGAGAGAGAGAGAGAGAGAGAGAGAGAGTTTAAAAGAAAAAGATACAAGGAAAGATTATGAAAGAAAAAGACAGAGATAGAGAGGAGTGAGAGAGGAGAGAGAGAAACAAAGACAAAGCAAGCAATAGAGAAAGACAGAGAAGGAATGAAAGAGGATATTTGAAATATTTGTTTCTTGTTATAATCTATCTATCTATCTATCTATCTATCTATCTATCTATCTATCTATCTATCTCTACACACACACGCACACACAAAACCTTGAACCTACAGAGACAGAGAGAAAGAGAGAGATTAAGCTTCTTTATGAGGATTGTCTCTCTTTTCCTCTCCTAACATCCCTCTCTTTTCTTCATTAGCTTCTCTTAAGCACACACACACACACACACACACAGACACACACACATACACATACACGCACATACACATGTGCACGTCATTGTTTGACTGACATTGAGACTTAATTGTCTGTCAGTATGTCTAATGGATTACATGGAGAGTGTGCACTGTGCATACACACAGAGAGACAGTCAGAGAGAGAGAGAGAGAGAGAGAGAGAGAGAGAGAGAGAGACCATGGCTCATCTTTCTGTCCAAGCTATGTGCTTGTGTTGGATCACAGCCAGGGAACTTTCCATCAATTGAATTGGAGGACTCTCTCTCTCTCTTTCTCTCTCTACCTCCTGTCTATCTAAATATGCATAAATATACACACTCCATGTATCTGCATCTCACACAGTCCTTCTTCTCATACAGACTGGGCTTATTTATACAACTCTTTTCAGTATAGTTTGATTAGTAAAGCTCTTTCTACTACACCAGCCATCTCAAGTCAACTTTTATACAAAAATACAGGTGTAGCCACACAATAATCTTTACTGATGGACAAATTGTCACAGAAAAAAAGAAGAACCACTGAGAGGAACTAAGACTGAAAACGCTCCTCTAGGATACATGGACTAAAGCGCGGAAAAGTTGAGGTATTATGATGGCTGCTAGTGTTGTTTTCAGTTACCAGACATAATTTTGCCCTTTTGCACAGATGTCAGAGTGTCAGAACCCACTTAAGTGAGTCTATTTGAGATGACTTATCAACTTGAAACTGTTTGAAACAAGATTTAGGAATTTGCATAGTGCTACTTTGTGTAGTATAAGCTTCCATTACCTGTTAGCTATATTAGCATTTGTAGCTCCAGTGCAAATCTAAAGCAAACTTCACCACATATGTCTTGACTGATCGATTTGGGATAAATTGGAAATCATGGGTACAGTCTTGTGCAAATGAAGACATGGGTACTGTCTTATGCAAATGAAGTGAAAAACAACATGCAATGGAAAAACTCATGAATAAATGTCAGCACACATTCTATGTTTTATTCAGCAAATGAACAGTAGCTGGCATGTGCATGTATCACGTGTTTGTCATTTTACGGAGAAAATCAACAAACTGTCATTTGACCAGGGGTCATGAGACTGTAAGACTGTTTGCATGAGACTGTAAGTTCGATTTTTGGCCAAAACATCACTTTAAGAGTGGAGCTCTGCATCAAAGACACTGTGTGTCCTTGTTAAAGTGATGAGTAAAATGACCTCTCTCAGTCCATAAATCACTCTGCGCTCTCCTGAGTTAAAGTGATTCTTACAGCGGAGCAGTGTGTGTGAACACGCAGTCACACTCAATCAGTGTAACGTTTAATTAAGTAAATGACCCGCAGCTGCTGAAGGGTGCGGGAGAAAGTTTCAGCCCACAGCAGAGTCCAAACTGAAACATCTGTCCGTTTCCTTACGCTGAAGAAATGAAATGACCTCTGACACTGGCCTCTCTGGAGTGGACACAGTGACACAATGAGGGTGAAGTGCAGGCCAGCGGCTTTCAGTTCAAACTACATGCAGTTTGCCAGCCATACAGGTTTGGGGATGCTTAACTTTCCACAAATGTTTGTAATGAATGACCATGTTTACTTTGTTCACATGTCAGTTTGCAGTTTAGACCTAAACCTCTTTTCTTCTTTTTTAGAAAAACTGCAAAACTGAAGGAACAATAGAAGTTTATGTATTAATGCCATTTAATAATGCCCATGGATTTTATTCCTTTGTTGTGATGTCAGCACTCATCAGAACTTTCAGTGGGATTTGTACAGCCAGGATTCAAACACTGGATTAGAATATTCAGTCCTGAATGCTGACACAACAGCTTAATTATGCCCATTTATCACATCTGTCTGCTGATTTGTCTTCCCACAACATACAGCACATCCTTAAGGTGCAGACAAAACACAGTAACATTTCGCTGCTGTTGGAAGAAAACCTTGTATCTCCATTTTTGTCGTTTTTGACATAATTTGAAAATGCTTGTTGCCCTTTGAAAGAAATGAAAGAAATGGCCCAAAATGACTTGGAAAAACGTCTGGTTCCATTGACTTACATTAAAAGTAAAATAGGTTTTTTCCTTCTCCTACAAAGTTATCATTTTGGAGATACAAGGTTTTCTTCAACAGCGATTTGCAACACTAATTTGTTCTGTTGATATTTGAGGCATGTGTCAGAGCCAAAGCATAACTAAGTTAAGCGAATGCAAACACCCACAAGAACCTCAAACTTATCCCAGCATTAAGTAACCTTTGTGATTAACTCTTATAAGGCTATTTTGAAACACCTTATATTTGTCTGTTCCAGTGACTATAAGAACTATTAAGGCATGTCAAAAACCTGCTTATTCGTCACTCTGGGTGGTCAGCTGGAGGGCATATCGCTGCTGTCGGAACAAAATCTCCAAAATGTTAACTTTACAGGAGAAGGAAAAAACATTCTTAACTTTGAATGGAAGTTAATGAAACTAGATTTTTTTTCCAAGCACTTTTAGAGCATTTCTGTTGATCCATTCATCATGAAATTTTGGCACATTATAAAAGTCAGCTAGCATTTTCAAATTCAGTAGTACAAAATGGCAAAAATGGAGATACAAGGTTTTGCTCAGACAGCAGTGCTATGCACAAAAATTGGCCTGAAGAGTTTCAGTGTGAGCTTTTAACAGATGTTTGGAAAAAAAAAATAATAAACTGGCAAAACCTGCTCTTTAGTGAGGGGATGATCTTCTTCCCGGTTAAAGTGGTCCATAATCA